GTGTATTGTTTATTTGTTTTTTGTATGTAAATGTAATATGTTTTTTTCTTCACTTTCTTTTTTTTTTGTTTTTGTTTTTGGTAGTATTCATGTTTGTTTAAGTTTGGTGGCGTGGTTGTTATTATTTAATAATAAAAAAATTATTAAAAAAATGAAAATATCATTCTTTTAGAAGAAGCTTTTAGGTGGTCTCTAGAAAGTTTAAAATTTTGTTGTTTATTCACTCAAGTAACCTGATTGGTTGCTTCATTTTATACTGATTGGTTGCTTCATTTTTTACATATTGATATTGTTAGTTTTGATTAAAAGTTTTGCTGAAATATGAGGGATCACATTACTCCGGTTTTGAGGTCCCTCCACTGGTTGCCTATTGGTTTCTGGGCCCAGTACAAGGTGTTGGTTATTACCTTTAAAGCCCTAAATGGCTTGGGCCCAAACTATCTTAGAGACCGCCTCCTCCCATATAATCCTCCCCGCGCCCTCCGATCCTCTGGGAGGAATTTGCTGCAGCCCCAAAGAGCTAGGCTTGCAGCGACCTCCCAGAGGGCTTTTTCTATCGTCGCTCCCAGACTCTGGAATGGCCTGCCGGATGAGATCCGTCAATTAACATCTTTGCACAGCTTTAAAAAGGCTGTCAAGACGGATCTCTTCCGGCAGGCCTTTCCGGACTAGATAGCTGGCCTCGGGACCCTCTGTATCTGGGTAATTTTATAGGACTCATTTCAATTCCCTTAAAGTAGATCTGCAGGGGACTGTTGCGTTGTAGCTGTGTTGTGTGTTGTTTGTTGGTTGTTGTTAATTAACGTTAGTTTTAGATTAATTACTGCTTAATTGCAGTTGTTTTAATTGTATTCGATTTAATAACTTTTTAGGGGGGGAACAGGGATTGTTGTTGTTTTAACTTGCTTGTATTTTACTATTTTTTATGTTCACCACCTAGATTGGTTTTCCACTGGGGCGGTATATAAATAAACTATATTATTATTATTATTATTATTATTATTATTATTATTATTATTATGTTTAAATTTTGAAATATAGGAGCCTATCTCTGTTCTTTCCATATTACTTTTGCCTCTGGAACCAAATTTTCTATTAAAGAAACAGTGCCCACTAATATATTGACTTTGTTAAGTGAGGTATGGCTGAACCTGTAAAGACTGGTAATGATAGGCCTCTCTGTCACTGTAAATATGATGGGATGTGATTTCATCTATTACATTCAATACCAATATTTTCTTATTTTGGGGTAGTATAGCAACATATTATAGTTTCTTTCTCTTCACATCCTCTCCTACAACGAAAAAATAGATTTTTATTAATGACAGTCAAGAGTGAGTGAAATACCCTATATATAAGTCCAAAAACTCCAACTGATTCAGAATATGGCAGCCAGACTAATTACAGGTACATCCAGGAGAGATCACATTACACCAGTCCTAAAATCACTCCACTGGGTGACAGTTAGTTTACAGGCAAAGTATGAAGTATTCGTTATTACCTTTAAAGCCCTACATGGTTTGGGTCCAGGTGACCTACAGGATTGCCTTCTCCCGTACGATCCGCCCCTGTATACTCAGGTCCTCTAGGAAATGTTTGCTCCAACCAGCCAGAACTAGAATGACAGTGGTTTCCCAGAGGACCTTTTCATCTGCTGCCCCCAGACTCTGGAATGATCTGACAGAAGATATACAACAGCAGAAGATGCTGACTGCATTTAAAACAGCATTAAAGACATATCTCTTCTAGGAGACCTAAACAGTAAATTTTAAATCATGACTTTTTAATTTGTATACATACTGTTATGAGTATTTTAATGGTTTTTATAGAATTGTATTTTAACTGTGGATTTATGTGATTTTTACTGTGTTTTTTATTTTAACATGCTATATCCCACCTTGAGGAGAGGCAGGAAAATAATAATAATAATAATAATAATAATAATAATAATAATAATAATAATAATAATAATGATGATGTTTATATATTGCTTTTCAAAGAGGTTGAAGTAGCTTTAAAAGAAACACAGGACAAAATACTGTTCCACTCTCAATCTGAGATAGAAGTGTCTAGGTCAGTTTTCAATCAGTTTGCACTCTATCAAAGAGAGCATTATGTATTTGGATATTAAACACCTTGTAATATTTGTTACAATATTTGTAAGGCAGGGGTAGGCAACTTTTTTGAGCCGGGGGCCAGGTTATTGTCCCTCAGACAATTGGGGGGCCAAAGCACCAAAAATAAATAAATAAAAAATAAAAAAATTAAAAAATGCATTCACACTCTCTCAAACCCAGAAAAGCCATGGCAAAACCTATGTGGAGATTTTGCCAAGAAAACCCCAAGAACAAGTAATAACAATAATCAATAACATCATGACAGACAGCGGCAGTGGCAAAGGGCAGCGGCAGCAGGACAGGCCTGGGGCCGGTCCAAAGGCCTCGGGGGGCCGCATCCGGGCCTTAGGTTGCCTACCCCTGTTGTAAGGGATGCAGTGGCTCAAGTGGTTAAGACGCTGACTCTGTTGATTGCAAGATTGGCAGGTTAGCAGTTCAAGGCTGGGGTGCTGTATGATGGGTGAGCTCCTGTCACTAGTCCCAGCTTCTGCCACCCTAGGAGTTCGAAAGCATGCAAATGCAAGTAGATATATAGGTACCACTTCAACGGGAAGGTAAACAGCATTCTGTGCAATCATGCTGGCCACATGATCACAGAGTAGTCTCTGACAAAGTTGGCTCTTCGGCTAGTAACGGAGATGAGCACAGCACACTATGGTCGGACACGACTTGACAACCTTGACAACAGGGATCACCTTTACCTTTTGATATTTTTGTTAAGGCATTATTATAATCCTCAGGTAATTGAAAGCCTTCAATATGTAGTTGCTGTGTGGTTGGGTTTTTTTACTGAAGTATGAACTTGTGATTTTTCTTATATTTATTTTATCGTCAGTGGCCAAAATGATTGTAGTAAAGGGATGGAAGCATGCGGAGCAAGTGGATCTTACTATGTGATGGAGGAGGTGTGGGATATGGCATTAAATGAAAAATTAATTTTAAAATTCCTAGAGGAGAAACTAGGACCAACATGAGATATGGCAGCCATTTGTTGCTTTTGTAGACCAGGCATCTGACATCATGAGATGATCTAGGGTTCAGCATAAATATTGGAAAGATTTATAACAAGATCCTTTATAGTTTCAAAAAACAAAGTTCTGTAATTATTCATTGCAAAGAAAAACACTGTGCTGGAAAACTGATATTATTTTTTAAAGGTGATTTTTGAATATAATTTTTGTGCAATATGATGGCATAATTTTGTTTTTCATTTTGTGCTGGTATTAAAAGCAACCTATTTAAAAGTATTTAATTTTTTTTTCTTTTTTTCTAAACCAAACATATTTTTAAGACTAAACAAGTTAGGAAGAGAAGCTAGGGTAGTTTTTTACTGATTGCACAAGACATTTAATTTTTTATTCTACTAAATTCTAACTTCATAAATGTTAAATTTAGTACTTTCTGACAAATGTTTATAAACTAATGTTGGTTTCAGTTTCTATGAGGATATTATTAATGCTTCTGACACATTGAATTATCTGAGGCCCTCAGAGTAGATGATCCATATAGAAACTGCAAGAAAAATAAGAATTTTAAACCATAGGTGGAGTTTCTTTGTCATGTACAGGGAGTAGATAATTTGAAACTAGTTTCAAATTTCCTTATTTCAAACACTGGATGACCTGACCCTTCTGCCATTATTTCACTCGATGAAAAGGCATTTGACTGAATTAATTGGCAGTTTATTTTTATGATTTTAAAGGAATTTGATTTCCCATTGGAATTTTTTTAAGGGTTCTTTTTTTTTAACCCCTCTCCTAGGTCATTAGTCATCATAAAAGAAATTTTCTAACTTTTCATCTGAAGAGGGCTACATGAGAGGGCTGTCCTTTCTCTCTTCTGATACTTATGTCTACAACTAATTTATGTAGTTCTCTTGCAACTAGGCAAAATGCAGCAATTTACATAAAAACGAATATAACACAATTTTGCATATTGATGAGTATTTGTATATTTCTAAAATGGAATCTTTTTTACCAGACCTGATCAAATTAATTAATAGCTTTGTAGCCCTTTTTGGTTATACTCTTAATTGCTTTAAATCTGAGGCTATGCCTCTTGGAAATAGTACTACTATATCTGGATTTTTTCCTTTAAGGCAATTTTAGTGGTGTCCCAAAGCATTTGATATTAAGGCATACTTTTCCTCTGTATATTACTCAAATGATTAAGCTGAATTTGTCTCCATTGCTTGCTGAATTATCTCTTGATTTGGACAAGTGGTCATCTCTCAAATTAATATCTGGAATAAGGCTAATATACTTACAATTAATGACTTACCAAGAAAGTTATATGCTTTCAGGTTATCTTACTGTACATCCCTGTTTATTGTCAGAAAACACTGTATTTAGAAAATTTATATGGTGGCCTTCACCATCCACTTTTTCCCACTCAGAAGGATGCAAGTTTCATTTTCTGATAGTGGATTTAATTTTCTCAATTTCAGATTGTCATACAGCACTTCATCTGATTTGTATAAAGAACTGGCAAG